AGTAATGAACATAACTGTTTTATAATAATGAACACTACAATTGTTTGTAGCTTTTATAATAATGAACACACACGCACGCTCAGCTCGTGCGTGCGTGCTCAGGTCTAAATCAGAGAAATAGAAGGGATAGAGAATGAGCGTCAACATGCGCAGAAGGTCTAATCAAGTTGGGCGCCATATTCCAGGTCTTCCTGTCATTTTGTATATAGGTGGTAATCTATAAGTAATCAAATATCAATTTGCTGTTTTCAACCATACGGGGGGCAATTTAAATTTAGTGAAATTCTATCATTTATTATGGTTAGTTAACATTAATATGATTTATTTAATTATCAGTTTCAAAACTGCGTACAATATTGATATATAATACACTAAATATACGAATATTCTGACAAAAGACGCTACGGACAGATGACCTTTTCGTCGTTAAACACTCGAAATGATATTAAATAAGTATTTACAATATTTCATGTTTACTTGTACCGAATTACGCGTTTCAATTTCAAATTTTTGCAAATTTGCTAAAAATTGTTCTAAACAACTTTTTGTTCAAGTTGTATATTCATAAAAAACATTTGGTTCATAATTATTTTTGATGATTACCTACCTTGTATTTTTAATATAAACCTAGAAAAAATATGTTTTTGTTTTATTTTTTTATTCGTCCCTTCAAATTGTGTTTCAAAAACTGTTACATAACATGTCCTCTAACAAATATTTTCATAATACATAAACATCATTGATTTTATTAAGGGTATTATTATTAGTATTTATCCTGGTTTTTGTCGACAATAAAAACTCACTCTTGTAATAGAACATCAATTTTATATTTCGTAACATTAATTTGATACAAATTCAATTTGTAAAAATTCAAGTCATTAATATATTGATAAACAACCGAAATTATTCCTAAATATTTTATTATAAAAAAAAATCTGTTACCGGTAAGTTTGTAAAACACATTATGGTTTGTCGTAATACTAGAAAAAATCATTTATTTTTTGCACAAAAGAAGCTTGTCGATCCTTATTTGTCCATAACAAAATTCTGTATGTACAATATACTACATATACATAATTTATTATTAAGAAAATTAGATTATATGATCTCAGAATTTTAAGAATTTTTTTTTAAGATGAAATAGTTTCTTCTCAACTGTAATATTGTCAACTTTGGCCTGTATTTTATCTATTTAAAAACATGGGATTGACAATCCCCTTACTAAAATACATACTGGAAGGTACCGATTAAGTTTCATTGCATCAAATACCTTTGCTATAAATCCTGGCTCACAATTTAAAGCCATTGCAAAATGCTTTTGAACTTCATCATAGATTTTACAAGAATAAAAGTGTAATATTGAAACAAAGTAACATTGTAAGCTTCATGACTAATAATCTCATTTTTAACACTCTTTAAATATCATCTCGTTAACAATTATGAATATTATATGATTTTTCTCAGTGATTTGTGGCAGAGATACAAATTAATATATGCCCCATAACAGTTTTTAAATAAGAAACTTCTGCCTACAGATTTAATTTTCTTATTGGCATAATACCCTTTCTTTCTATATAAATCTTGCCATTTTTCCAGTCCAATGTTCCTTGTTTTTACAGTTGTAGGAATACTAAAAATGTTGACTATAGAACTCGATACTATGTTTGAAAAAGCCTTCATACCTGTAACTGTGCATAAATCTAATTAACTGAATTCTCCTCCTCTTGACACTCTGAACACAGCCGCTGCTAATGTTAGAAATATTTAGCACAAAACTACAACTACCTACAACAAACTTTACAATAAAAATGTTAAATTTTCGCTGTTCGATTAAAATACCCTATCTTATGTTTTCTTTTCCTCCAAATAATCTTCTTGTCAAGTAAGGACCAATCTTATTTGATATATTTCTGGTCACTTGAACTTGTGCTTTCATGGACACTATAAGAGTGCACTGTTTTACAGAACCACGAACATTGATTCCAAGTATCTTCTTCCTCCACACGTAATAAAAACATCCTCTTTAAATGGCCACATCATACACTTATTTTTGACCATTCCCAATTACAATCACGATTTTTACAAATCGCCTTTAGGAAAGTTAAAAATAAACAGTTTTGAATCATCTGTAAACACGATTATGTTGTATAAACTTACACATGAAAACTAATCATTATTCCCGGCGTATTAGCTTTCTAGAATGACTATGAATATACAACAGGCCTTTTTGAATTAGTGTTTAGAATAATTGAAATAATAATAAATTTTAACTAGATAACAACACAAACGAAAAAAAAAACAAACAGATGTCAATTAAAGAGGGGAAGTGACAGCGAGACCTGGAAGATGTCTGCCATCTTGCCGTCGACAAAAATTTGGATGCGCACTCGTCGAAGCTCATTCTCCCACTTCCATATCTCTGGTCTAAACGCACCATTATAAAACAATCAACTTTTGATTATGAACTGAAAATGTCTAATAATTTTGACGTTCTGAATGCTTCCATTGAAATTAAAGGAACGAACTTCTACGCTAATTGAAACCACTAATTTATTGCACTAATTGCGAGGTTCTGAATTAGACTTAAATATTAAAAAAAAACATATACAGAAGACTCCAAGTAGCACAATATAAAGTAGGTAGTCTAAAGACCTAGTTGTTCACCAGGTACCAGAGAATTTTCAGTTCAGGGGCTTGGAACACCTTCAAAAAGAAAATTCCAGTTCTCCAACTTCCAGTGGATAACATACCAAGAATGTACGGGGTGGGTCAAATTCGACGCATTTAAATGAAAACACCCTTTTCTATAGGAGATAGACGAAAACTAATATCGGTGTCTGGAGCTCAATTTTCATCACAAACATAATAGTAAAAACCGCACATCAATATCTGTTACCGTTTCGGAGTTACCGGGTGTTTTTCAAAAATGTGCATTTTTAACAAATCGCTGTAACTTTTTTGCTATGGAAAATTTTGTATTTCTATGAAAACATTTCCGAAGCACCTTTTTACGTACAATTTAATGGTTTAAGTATATTTTTTTTAAATTAATAATTTAAGAGTTATTTAACAGAAAAATTGATTTTTAATTTGGGACAGCCTCTATATTTTTAATTCGCTGAAAAGAATTTAAAATTACCTTTCCTAAAATATAGCACACTTGATATTTTGTTATAATTCCCTTCGAAATAGAGAATTTTTAAAACTAGTAGGCTTTGGACCCCTTATTGATGATATGCCCTTAATGGAACTCGAAAACATATTTTTCTAGCAAGACGACGCACCGCCTCTGAACGCTGAAGTTATCAGCAAATTTTTGCAGCCAATTTCAAGAATAATTGAATAGCTAACCAAGATCCCAGTCGTTGGCCGTCGAGGCCGCCTGACTTAGTGCCCATGGATCTAATTCTATGGATATATTTGCGGAAAAATAAAGGTTCCTTATTCTTCCGTATAATCTAGACAAGAATTGAGTTACACTGAGTTAATGAATTCCGCAAGAAATGTTCAAAAACTGCCCCGTCTGTCCATAACAGAAGACGGTCGATATGTCGAACACCTGTAGCAAAATCTCATGTCTTGGTTTGCTATTTATTTTTATTGTTATTAGATATAGTTTAAATGTGTTGATGTTGGTTAAATATATTTTAAATTGTTATAAAATTCTGTATCTCTCATAGCAAATATTATTTTCGTTTTAATTGATGCTCACAGCTGGAATTTTTTTGCAATACAGCCGGTGCCGTTTAAAGCCTACTTATTTAAAGAGGGCGAATTTTTATATACTCTATATCTCGAAGAGGAATCGAGCAAAATATCAAGTTTGTTATATTTTTTGAAAGAAAATATTAAATTATTTTCAATAAATTAAAAATATACAGGGTGTCCCATATAAAAAATCAATGTTTTTGTTGATAATTCTTAAATTATTAATTATACTTAAATTATACTAATAAATTATATATATTAAAAAAAATTATACTTAAAACATTAAATTCTACTTAAAAAGGTGCTTTGGAAATGTTTTCATAAAAATACAAAACTTTCCATAGCAAAAAAGTTACAGCGATTTGTTAAAAATACGTATTTTTGAAAAACATCCCGTAACTCCGAAACGGTAACAGATATCGATATGACGTTTTCACCATCATGTTTTTGACAAAAATTGAGCTCCAGACACCGATATTAGTTTTTGTCTATCTCCTATAGAAAAGTACAACTTTGAGAAACATCTCACTGTAGCATTGAGCAATAAAAAGGATTGGAAGAGAGAAACGTTTGCTCAACCATGTAAAACACCATACCATAACGAGGTATACTGATGCTTACAAGGAACTTTGAAACTGTGGTCAGTGATACATCTACCCGAAACGTTGTGTGTAAGTTAAAATAAACAAAGACAATGGAAGGTCTGAAATTCTGTTAGCATCACAAAAATGCGATACGCCACTGAGTTGCCAATTTCTTTATACACCCTATTTAAGTATAGGTTAAAAGTCACTTTTTGATAATCAATTTTCTTGAAAGTATTATCAATTCACTATCAGAACGCATTAGATAAAACAATATGTACTTAAGAAGCATTATTTTTATATTGCATTCTAGCCAAAAGTAATTGTGTATCGTTGAGTGAACAGTAACTTGCAGTAGTTTTATCTGAGTAAGAGGATCTTTAGATTATGTAGAATATAATATACCGGGCGACTCTTAAATAAGTGCATGTATTTTAACTGGTACTATATTTCGACAACAGAAAAACATGAGTTTTTTTGCAAATAAATATACAAATTCTACATTTTCAAGACTATAAGGGTAATTATTTTTAAAACATTTTCTTATAAAAGGTCCATAGTTTAATATGGTATATACCTGGTGGTGCATTGGCGTAGTTGGAATATAGGAAATCGCATTCAAATTTTGAACTGTCCAGATATTGACATTGTTTTATTGACATGTTTTTTGTAATGGAACGCTCTATATATTAATTGATTTTCGGATTCTATAGGAAAAGTAAAGGTGAGTTTCATTAGAGAAGTATATATCTAAAATATTATGTTTTTGGCATATTAAACATTTTCTAAAAATGAGGTAGGATAACTAAATAATGAGGTAAAAACAGGATATACATTTAATCGGTAATTTTTAAAAAAAATAATTTTATTTTTCAGAAACTATTAGAGACAGAGTTTACCAAAAATGCTTTTTATAACTACTAGTGGGTAAATGAATTTGTAGATATATTACAACTTTTCTTGGAACTTTAGTTTCGGAGATATACATTTAATCGGTCATTTTTAAAAAAATAATTTTATTTTTCAGGAACTATTAGAGACAGAGTTTACCAAAAATGCTTTTTATAACTACTAGTGGGTAAATGAATTTGTAGATATATTACGACTTTTCTTGGAACTTTAGTTTCGGAGATATACATTTAATCGGTCATTTTTAAAAAAAATAATTTTATTTTTCAGGAACTATTAGAGACAGAGTTTACCAAAAATGCTTTTTATAACTACTAGTGGGTAAATGAATTTGTAGATATATTACGACTTTTCTTGGAACTTTAGTTTCGGAGATATACATTTAATCGGACATTTTTAAAAAAATTAATTTTATTTTTCAGAAACTATTAGAGACAGAGTTTACCAAAAATGCTTTTTATAACTACTAGTGGGTAAATGAATTTCTAGATATATTACGAATTTTTTTGGAACTTTAGTTTCGGAGATATAAATTTAATCGGACCTTTTTAAATAAAATCCACCTAAATTGGGATTTATCCAGTATAAACTAATATGTAGTAAAAATAACTGTTGTACCTTAAATCAAATTAAAAGTTTACCCAAAAAGTTATACAGGGTGAAACAAAATTAATATTGAACATGCGTTACCTTTAAAAGGAAGATACTCATTTATTTTAAATGAAACATCCAGTATATTGTTCCGATATTCAATGGGAAATCGTGTTTCTTCAATATACTATTAAGGTTGCCTACTTCTTCAGCAAAGATTTTCCTAGATATTTTTATTTTTATGATTTAATGCCAGTAGATCTTTATTAAAATTATAATAAATAAAAAATAATTAAGAATTTAATACCCTGTAGCTACGAAACAACACAAAATCGGACCTATGTTGATATGAAAAAGTAATCTTATTTTTACCAGAAGAATCTCCCTACGAGAGGTGGCACATGTTTTTTGAAACACCCTGTATAGAGTAAATTACAGTTTATACAGGGTGTCCCAGAAATAAGTGCAAATATTTTAAGGGGTGGTAGATCTCGATAAAAGAAACATATTTTCTCTTTATCGTTTTTCAAATAAGTCCAAAATAACAGAGTTATTTTACTTTTAAAATTTATATATATATATATATATATATATATATATATATATATATATATATATATATATATATATATATATGTATAACCAAAACTAAGAAGAAAATTCTTGGGGATAGCAGTCTAGAGGCACAAAATTAAACAATTTATTACAAACGCCGAGCTTTCGGAAAATATATTTCCTTTTTCAAGGCTAAAACATCACAAAAGTCAACTGAATATAATATAATATTATATAAACTTACGTGTAAAAAGTTTAATTATAAAAATAGAAAAATATATCAATTTCTATATGGAAGAAAGGAACTAAAATTTTGTATAAAAGTTAAAATCTTCTTAAATATTCATGATTTCTGACATTACTAAAAATTATTTTGACATAGAAAGGTAAATTTAATTATTAATAAAAAAACACGTAAAAAACATATAAGGTTAATCACAAGTTACAAATAAAAATAGAGAAAAAATCAAATTTTAAATATTATTTTTATTTTTAATAAAATGGAGTAAGAAAGAATATATATTACTAAGATCCCAATATCTTTTCTTTTATTAATACAATTATCATTAATGTAAATTTCTACCATTTCAAGAAAAAGTCTTTTATTAGTATTAAATTCAGTATCCAAAATTTTTGCATTTTTAAAATCAATATTATGTAGTGTATCAATCACATGTTCTGATAATGCACAACTACAAAAAAAAATACTTAAAAAAAAAAAAAAAAAAATAATTTTTTTTTTTTATTAAAATAATTTTTAGTAATGTCAGAAATCATGAATATTTAAGAAGATTTTAACTTTTATACAAAATTTTAGTTCCTTTCTTCCATATGGAAATTGATATATTTTTTTTTCTTTTTTATAATTAAACTTTTTACACGTAAGTTTATATAATATTATATTATATTCAGTTGACTTTTGTGATATGTTTTTAGCCTTGAAAAAGGAAATATATTTTCCGAAAGCTCGGCGTTTGTAATAAATTGTTTAATTTTGTGCCTCTAGACCGCTATCCCCAAGAATTTTCTTCTTAGTTTTGGTTATAATTGATCGGTCAAGACTTCCTCTTTGTATATATATGTATATATATATATATATATATATATATATATATATATATATATATATATATATTTTTTTTGCTAAAATTTTGAGAACCACTGGATCTTTTCTGGATTTTCTTTCTTGTAAATTTAATCTAATACCTATGTTGCCATATTATCAAGAAATTATGTTTTTTAACTAAAAAATAAAAAAAATTCAAAAAATTTTTCTAAAAATTTCGAATTTTCAAAAAAAATTTTCGCGAAAAAAACCTCATAGACGTGTTTCTGGGGTTGAACTATACTACCAGTTGGGACACCCTGTATAGCTGTTATTGAAATTTAAAATTTATTCTTCATTTTTACAAAATGTGTACCTATATGTCAAAATTCGTACATTTTAGGCATATGCTCCTTTGACGAAACTCACCATTATATTTTTCAAATATATACAAATACATTTCTATATTGTTACATTCAATTATTCATTTAAAAAGTATTAAATAACTATACCTCAAAATATGTATAAGTCTAAATAAAATAAAATGTTTTTTATAAAAGTTTTACTCTTTTTTTAATGTTTACTGTTCATTTTTAAAAATGTTAGTTTTAAATGAATATTCTGTTTTTTAGGTTACGTTATGAAGACGTTTATTTGTACGTTAATATGGCTAGCAGTTATTTGTAAATATGAAGATTTTGTAAATGCATTGATCAACTGTGAAGAAAGGTCTGAGACATTTTACTCTAAATTTGAGAAGGAAAGGTATCCTGGAGTTTCTGGAATCCATTTATATTGTGTTAACACAAATTTTCATAATATTTTTCAAAACATATTAGAAGATGACGATTATAATAGTGAAGATTTTGATATTGAAGATTATGATAATGAAATTGATACTAATAATATACGCATCCTATCAATATATAACTCATCGTTGGGAGTGCTTAAAGGCTCACCACAATCTAATCAACTAGGAAGATTGAAATATGTACGAAAGCTGGATATTTCACACAATAATATTACCAAAATCTTACCTGGTTTTTTTGCAGCATTTTCAAAATTATTAGAATTAAATTTATCTGACAACAATAACTCCAATTTAATAGAAGGAGTGTTTTCAAATCTCCATCAACTTCAAATATTAAATATGTCAAACAATAATATTGAACAACTCGATGATCATGTATTCTTAGGATTAACTAGATTATACATGTTAGATTTAAGTAATAATACTTTAAAATATATCTCTTCTGTTACATTTGCGAGTAATACAAGATTAGAAATATTAATTTTAAATAATAATTATTTTATGAAAATCGATGCTTTTCCACTATCTATAAAATCGTTATGTGTTACAAATAATAATATAAGTGAATTTAGAAGTTATAACAATTTTGAAAACCTAGACCTAAGTTTCAATAGAATTGAAAGTGTTGAAATTGACAAAAATATAGTAAATCTTAATTTAAGTTATAACAATATAATAGATACAAACATAATTGGAAATGTTCGTTTCTTAAACGCCAGTCATAACAATTTGACATCTGTGAGAGGTCTAAATAGCAGGAATATTGAACGATTAGATTTAAGCTTCAACAACATTTCAGACATGGACCCAAATTCATTTTCCAACAGTACTGAGTTAAGATATATCAATATTCAGCATAACTATCTCACGGATATGCCTTCAAACATATTTTTATACCTTACTAGTTTAGAATATCTCGATATATCTTATAATTTATTTTCAAAATATCAACACGGCTTAAATAATAATTGGGCAAACATATTTTCCTCAAAATACTTAAAAAGTGTCTCACTAGCACACAATTTTTGGATTTGTGCAGATTTGAAAGAAATATTAACTGTTTTACACATTCGAGGTGTAGAGATAATAAATGTAGACAAAAAATATGAGAGAAGTAATATTTTAGGAATCGAGTGCCTTGATATAGATCAGAACCAATCTGTGAAAACATTTAATTTGTCTGTATTGGATTGGCAATTTGAAAGTGAAATTTCGGAAAAAATGGACAAAGTGCAAAATTTATCCGTATCTTTTAACCAACGAATAGCAGAAGTAGAGAATAAAATCAGTGATGTCAATAGCACAAACGAACATTTACAAAATGAACTTTTAGCAAAGATGAACTTAAGTCAACTAAATGATTTAAAGGAAGATATTCGAAATATTACTGATAAGATAAAACATTTTTACAATTATTCAAATATTGATAATAATAAGGTCTTATCAGATAAAATTTTGTTGGATTGTTTAAAAAATCGACCGAAAAATATTAGTCATTGTTTTTATAAATTAATTGAAAACGAATTGATGGTACTGATGGAGATGTCCGATACAAAATACGAGAAAAAAATCGAACAAATGTCGAAAGATATAAAAGCACTTTATGATAAATACGATTCTACCCGAACCATATCATATGTACCACTCACAGATCAGAGCACGGGCTTTGGTACATTTTTTCAAGTACTCACTCTCATATTACTAATAATAATTTTTTTGGCTCTAGTGTATATCAGTTATCACATGAAAAAAACAAGAACTGACTCGATAAGAAAGGAACATATTGCATTACTGTAAAAGTATTATTACACAACTTGTCTAATATAAACGTAACACGCTGTATATTTTCAAGCATTAGATGTAAAATTTATTTTTTATTTTTTATAATGTTACACCTTTTTTATAATCCCATCTAGTTGTTGTAAAAAATGCTGATGACTTATATACAGGGTGGCGCCTCTCTCAAAATATGTCAAAATCTCACGTTTTAATCATATACTTCTCTAATACAACTCACATTTATTTTTCATTTAGAATACAAAAATCAATTAATATATAGGGTGTTCCATTATAAAAAACAAAACTTTGATATGTAACTTTTTTGAGGACACCCTGTAGAACTCCCTATATTTTAAAAAAGTGCTCCGAATTGACCTACATATGCTCACAAAATTTTATTCAATACAATATATTTCAATACGTTCTCCTTGGAGCTTCCGTGGAGTATGAGAGGTGCCACCCTGTATAAAGTATCTAATTTTTTAAAAAAACTTTGCTTGTGATGCTAATACAATAAAGCAATAGGTATGAACTTATTAGTATTATTTTAAATGTACCTGTATTACATTTTACTTGTCTAATAAAAATACTTTGTTTTATAATAGATGGTTTTTATTTCAATTACAGAAGTTTTGTGGATGTTTTACTACACTTAAAAGCTACTATGCTAAAAAATAAATCCGAAAATTGGCCCATTCAATATTTTTTTGCTAATATTTATTAACATTAAATAAAAATATCCACCTGACGACAAATTTGGATTGTTTTGAATAAAGTGTACTGTTTAATTTTTAGTTAAAGTATTTTTTTATTTTTAAGAATGGAAATTAAAATATTTCAACGGTAATAAAAATATACGCATATAAAACATATTTTAATTATTACAGAACTAAAACTCGATATGCTCAAAATGCTTTCTTTCCTGTTCACTGTATAAAAAGATTCGCTCTTTTCAAGAGATCCTTTCATGTTAAGAGGTGTACAGGGTGGCGCACCTCATTCGCTTCGGTTGATTATACGAAAATGGAAAGATGTAGAAACAAAATATTTTATGGGTATATGTGCGGAGGTCATGTGCACAATTTAAAATTATTTTAAAATGTACAGGGCGTTTCAGAACTAAGATCCATACCAAAGTTATATTTTTTCTTATGGAACACCCAGTATTTTATATCATTTTTGGATTCTTGGGCATAAAATAAGGCATTTCTTATATAGGGCATAATAAGGCATAAGGATCTACTTTTAAACTCAGCATAAGAATGAATTCTGAAAAGTAATGTACAGGGTGTTAATAGTCTATTCTATTGTAGCATGCAAATTTAAATATCTTTAAATATATCAAAAATTAAAGATTTTAAACATATTTAACCCTTAAAATAAATGCATTTTTTTGGGCCCAAGAATCCAAAAATTAAATAAAATACCGGGTGTTCCATAAGAAAAAATATAACTTTGGTATGGATCTTAGTTCTGAAACACCCTATACATTTTAAAATAATTTTAAATTGTGCACATGACCTTCCCACATATACCCATAAAATATTTTGTTTCTACATCTTTCCGTTTTCGTACCACCCTGTATACTAATTTTGCTTGTCTTTTAAGGAATGTCTTAATTATCACCTAGATGCAGGAATAAAAATATGTTTTCGTATTTAAGTGTTATGGAAACAAAACTCAAAATGTATCTTTAGATCTTTTACTAATATGCGTCTGCTGATTAAAAATGACATACCTATCTGTTCGAAAAACTCAAAGTTATTCGAAAACAACTAAATTTATTGCATATTGGATACTGTACATAAATAATTTTTAAATATAATTTCACAGATTGAAAATATAATAAAACGCCTACACAGTTGCACTGAAGGTTTTTTTACGCCTGATATACATGGGACCGACAAACATGCTTTGTTTATAGATAGCAGGCATTAGGCGTAGTCAAATTATAAATTAATTTGACATTATACAGGGCGAGTCTTAAACCTTAACCAAGCCAATTGAACGCCGATTTATTTCGATAATACGGCATTTATTTTTATAATGTACTCTGAATTATTTTTTATTAAAAAAAAATAAATATTAAACATAAAAAACATATACAGAGTTTCGTCCAAGCAGCACAATATAATGCTGTGTGTAAGTTGTGTGTCAGTTAAAAAAATTGGCGCCGGGAGGCACGTATAGCCGCCCATACTAAAATATGTTAATAAAAAGCCTTAAAAAGTTAGCAGGCAGTTCTTTAAGTTTCAAAGTAGAGGAATTTTTCCAATTCTGGTCCGCGGTTATTTCCCCTACCCGCCACCTGGGGTCGCGTCCGATGGGAGTTTGGAGTTCTCCACACGGATTTTCTCAAAAACGGACTACGGAAACACGGAATATCTCAAAAACTGCGACTTTGACTGATTTTGATGTTGTTACAAATTTTGTTGCAAATATTATTCCCAATCTTAAATTGAAAACCGCGTTTCGCTAGCTACTGTAATTTTGAAGTTACGATTTTTTAAAATTTTTAACCCCCTCCCATACCCCCACCCCCAACAAAAAATAATGGCCGGATTTTCAGGTGCCACAGTATTTTTGTGTCAAATTTGGTTAAAATCGGTTTAGCGGATTTTGAGTTATCGTGTTACAGACGGATAGACAGACAGACACCATGAAAATATTTTGTATTTAGGTCATTTATGACACAAAAAACTCATTTTGAGTGAAATTAAAAATAAAAAATCGGTAAAAAAACTTTTAAGTTAAACGGTTTAATCTTATGTGCACTGAAAACTAGAAAATAATAATAACAATTAGGTATTTTGAACTTCTAGTTCAGAAATATTTTAGTACGAGGCAGAATAGCTTTTAGGCATATCAGACTAAAATAAAAACGTGGGGCCCCTCCGAAATCCTACCTATGGCAAAGCATATCTTTATACTCTGGTAGATCATGAGCTCGGCGTTCGCTGGTGAAGCCGCCACGGCTGGTTATTGATTGTCAAAGTCTCCAGTTACGATTATAGTAAGTCGATGCAATCCTCACTTAGTATAGAAGAAAGTATTACAGCAATAGTTAATGGGCCCCACGTTTTTATTTTAGTCTAATATGCCTAAAAGCTATTCTGCCTAGTACTAAAATATTTCTGAACTAGAAGTTCAAAATACCTAATTGTTATTATTATTTTCTAGTTTTCAGTGCACATAAGATAAAACCGTTTAACTTAAAAGTTTTTTTACCGATTTTTTATTTTCTAGTTTTTAGTATTTAACGGAAATGCCTACCGAATATTCCTCATTCTATTTAATTCATTTAGTAAGGTAAGTCCCACGAGTAATGGACATTTTAACGGTCGACCCCCCCCCAGAGGTCCAGTAGAGGGGCAAGGCTATAATATACAACAAGAGGCACCCAATCTTGAGGGGAAAACGCTTGCGACATTACATTTTTAGCCACCCTAATGCGATACAGTCCTCAGCACGTTTTAACCTATTACCTTAACTTGAGTGGTAAACCTACCGCTAACTACGTAGGTACATCTAATCACCTTTTTTTTATCTGTCCTTCTAACGTCACACAATCTTGGACACAACTGTTCTGGACACGACTACTCATGCCCTCACCTAATACGCCATTTTGTAACGACGTCCATCTTGGATTTTAAATTTTGTCATAATCACAGTATTCTACTAGTGTAGCCCTTTCATTTGATACCCATATTGAGGGGGCTGTGGAAAAATATGAAATCCGCCATTTTGTACCGGCGGCCATCTTAGATTTACAATGTTATTGATATTACTATATTGTATTGTCATCGGAACTAAAGGTGTGTACCAAATTTCAGATCAATCTGACAACAGGAAGGTACTTAAATTTGAATTTCTAATTTTGACCCAAATAAACAAACAAATAAATAAATACCGTACGGGTCGAGCTAAATAAAACCGTTTAAAAAACTTTTTTTGCCGATCTTAATAGCCTACCATACCTGTTGGTATGGTCGGCTAAAAATAAATAATAATTAATATCGATACTAAATCATTCACTAAATTGTAGTACTTCCACCTCTGATTTTGTCCCATTTTGATAATTTCTTATACCCCCTATATACAAGTAAAAAGTCACTTTTGATTAATTATATCTAAAAAGTATTATCAATTCTCGGAACTGCCATCAGAACGCATACTATCATCTAGCATGCGTTAAACAATAATTAGACACTTAAAATACAGAATTTTTATATTGCGATCAAGCCGAAGTTATTGTGTATTATTAATTAAAAAAGGAAAATTTGCAGTGGTTTTATGTGAGTAAGAAAAACTTTTAGATTATGTATGGTTTATTATAATTATTTACTGGATTCAATCTTAACTATAGAGAATACAGGGTGCCGAATTGTCGACACCAGAGTTTGTTAAAAATTAAAATTATTTGTTTAAAGTTTTACACCTTCATACTTTTGCACCCTTGTAATGTTGACCTCTTTACTTCTGCAACGTTGGCATCTCCTTGCTTCTGTATACTTGTTTAAAAGTTTACAGTGATTTTACTTATACACGGTGTCCAAATAATAGTGTCCAAATATCTAACTTTGGTGGGTGATTTTACAGATAAAAATAAAACAAAAATTTCCTATGAACATAAATATGCCCTAAAAGGTTCCCCGAAGAAATTGCAGCCATCGAAAGGTTAAATAGAAATAATATACAGGGTGGTCCGAACTGCATTCCGAAAACTTCCGCTGCATATTCTGTAGATAAAAATAAGTAAAAAAGTTCGTTTAAATGTATGTCCTAAAATGCTTAATTTCGCTGATACAGGGTGTAGAAGTTTCATTTTTATTTCGAGATTTTTTCCAAATAATTTCCGAAGTAACGTCAATATTTGGATGAAAATTGGTGTCTGGGAGTTTTTTGACATGAGAGAATTTGATGTTGCTGTCAATATGACTCCTATTTATAGGGGGCGCCACCTACATGTGTTTTAACTGGTTTGAAGAGTTTTAACTTTTCATCCGTACCTGTATAAAACTACCGACTGAAAAAATGTACATTTCCGTGATTTTTTACGTAAAAAATGTCTCTTGGTAAAAATCGCTACGAGCAACCGTTCTCAAGATATTTAGAAGGGAAATAGTCAATTCATGTCATTATTGACAAAAAAATAAACACGTTGAATAGATCAATTATTTGACTGAAATAATAAATTTGGGAAATTTTTATTTTTTTAAATTAACCATAAATTTTTCTGCGAAACTCGTAGCGCGGCAAATTCTCGCGGGGCCCCCCAAGTACACTCAAAAATTCCTTCAAATACATCATTATTGTCATATCTGCTTGCAACATATTTTTTAACAAGAGCCACAGTGTGATATTTTTTTATATTTTGATAATTGTTTCAACATTTATTTATTATTATAGTACTCTTAAAATACTTAAACTAGAAAACAAACATTTATGCTTCTAATTAATCAAAGTTTTATTAGAAATTATTAAAAAAAAACTAATAAATTTAGAAAAAAAAGGATTTATTAAAAAAAACTCAACATTTAAATACTAATAACTAAAACACAGTGAAATGTGAACAAGACATTTTAAATATTTATGAAGTACCCTATGGTATATTAGAAAGTAATATTCCTTTTTCCCTCGACCTTAACAAAAGAAACTTGTTTATGAGGTTGTCCAAATCTATCTCTTTTGCTCGATCATTCTCAACTGATATTATGGCCACTATGGCCAGTGAGCTTAGGCGATTTTGGGACATAGTAGACCTCGCAAAACTTTTTATTATTTTCAGCTTAGAAAAAATTCTTTCTGGTTCAGCGGATGTTACAGGGAGAACCAGAAACAACTGGAATACAGTGCAAATCTCAGGTATACTGCTAATCAGTAATTGTTTTTCAAAAAAAAAAAATCAGAAAACTCTCTGATACTGTGAAAAATTTTGATTTTTTCATAAAGTAAATTTTTTGCTTGAATTAACTCCGATGCTAGATTTTGTGTTAGGTCGTTAGGATATTTGTCTACTAATACTTTGGCATTAGCTATAAGATATCAGATTCCTGGGATTTTAACAATGTTTGTGGGTTTAAAATTTCAAATTTTGAATAAATATTTTGAAATGCGTCATACCTGATTCTAAACTGAGTTATTATTATATCGAAACAAACATAGAAACTGTGACTTTTCAACGACTTTTACGATTTTCAATGGGCTCATCAGCTGCTATTTCATCAAAAAAGTTTTGACTCTACGAACTCTTTTGTTTTTTAACTGAGGTTCAATATTCCAAGATTTCGCAATTGAAATTGACAGTTCATACACACTTTCAAAATTGTCCCAAAGATTTTCTATTTTAACAAGAACTCCTGATATTAGATCTGTGGCCAGTCAGTCCTATGTCAATATAATTTTTTTGTAAGCATTTTAAAAGCAAGTTAGTATTTTCCAACATTGTACCTTGCAAAATTTAGTAAGAAAATAAATTCGAAATTTTCTATTTTATCTTGTAACATCTTGGCCTCATCTCTATCGGTACGTTTTTTCAGTATTAACGTTAAATTCGCTAGACACTTGACAACGGACAAAAAATTAGTTTTTATCAATAGTATGCTTTCGGCTTTTGACGACCATCTAATTGGACATAATTTTTAGTTAAACCAACAGTTTTACTATTTTTTATTTAGCAGTTTAGGCTTTGCCAACGGGGTAGACTTTCACTGAAAAATATATAAAGACTCCGAACCGTGTCAAAAAAATGTCTAATCTCGCTAATATTGCTCACAGATTCATTTGAAATAAGTGTGCTTATGGAAAAACTCTACCGATATGATACTTTTAATCAAAAACGCCGTGAAATATGATAATCGCTGTGTGTTGTGTCACCTAAACAACTAAACCAAATTCGAAATTAACCTGTACAATAATAATTATTATTATACCTGTAAAGAATAATGTAGTGTAAAATAATTGTTTAGTCAACATGTTTATGTCAATGATGACAGGTACTGATAATTTTGATTCCAAATATCTCCGAGAACCATTACTCGTAGCGATATTTACCAAGAAGCTTTTTTTACGTAAAACACGTCGTAAATGTATATTTTTTACTCGGCAGTTTTATACAGGTACGGACAAAAATTTATTAGTCTTGAAACCAGTTAAAAAATATGTAGGTGGCGCCCTCTACAAGTAGGAGTCATATTGACATCAAAATCAAATTTCTCATGTCAAAAAACTCCCAGACACCAATTTTCATCCAAATATTGACGTTACTTCAGAAATTATTTGGAAAAAATCGATACAAAAGTGAAATTTCTTCACCCTGTATCTCCGAAGCTAAGCATTTAAGAACATACATTTATACGAACTTTTTTCCTTATTTTTATCTGCAGAATATGCTGCCGCAGTTTCCGGAATACAGTTCGGATCACCCTGTATAAATAGTTTTTGTATCACACTCACTTCAGTTGAAAGAAATTAAGTGCAATTTTACTATAACATAAAAAATAAGTGTATAAAATGTTTAAATGTATTTTTATGTAAGTTTTACTGTTTTTTTAAATTGTTTGTTTTTTTCAGGTTGATATGAAGACGTTCATTTGTATGTTGATATGGCTAGCACTTGTTTCTCAATATGTAAATTTTGTAAATGCATGGAAATATTGTCAATATGTAAATTTTGGTAAATGCAATTGTTGGACAAAATATGAGATGTTTTACTTTCAAAATGACAATGGAAATAGTGATAGTATTAATGGAATTCATTTGTATTGTATTAACACCACTTTGCAAATTCAAGTAGACGAGTATAATATTCATACGATATCAATATATAACTCTTCGTTGGGAGTGCTTAAAGAGCCACCTATCTCTCATCAGGGAATATTTGAAAATTTACGAAAGCTGGATATTTCAGACAACAATATTATTAAAATCTTACCTGGCTTTTTTGCCCCATTTTCTGGATTATTAGAATTAAATTTAGCTGATAACAATAACTCCAATTTAATCGAAGGAGTCTTTTCAAATCTTCATAAACTTGAAATATTAAATATATCAAACAATAATATTGGACGTCTCGATGATCATGTATTCTTAGGATTAACTAGATTATACATGTTAGATTTAAGTAATAATACTTATTACTTAATATTACTTATAAAATATATCACTTCTGTTACATTTGCGAGTAATACAAGATTAGAAATATTAATTTTAAATAATAATTATTTTATGACAATCGTTACTATTCCAGAATCTATAAAATCGTTATATGTTTCAAATAATAATATAAGTGAATTTAGAAGTTATAGCAATTTTGAAAACCTAGACCTAAGTTTCAATAAAATTAAAACTGTTGAGATTGACACAAATATAGTTAATCTTAATTTAAGTTACAACAATATAATTGATATAAACATAACTGGAAATATTCATTTCTTAAACGCCAGTCATAACAATTTGACATCTGTGAGAGGTCTAAATAACAGGAATATTGAACGATTAGATTTAAGCTTCAACAACATTTCAGAGATGGAACCAAATTCATTTTTCCACACCACTAAATTAAGATATATCAATATTCAGCATAACTATGTCATAAACATGCCTTCAAATATATTTTTAAATCTTACTAGTTTAGAATATCTCGATATATCTTTTAATTTATTTTCAAGATATCAACACGGCATAAATAATAATTGGGCAAACATATTTACTTTAAGATCGTTAAGACGTGTTTCACTAACACACAATTTTTGGATTTGTGCAGATTTAAAAGAAATAATATCTGTACTACACGCTCGACGTGTAGAAATAATAAATGTAGACAGAAAATATGAGAGAAGTAATATTTTAGGAATTGAGTGCCTTGATATAGAACAGAACCAATCTGCGAAAACATTTAATGTATCTGTATTACATTGGCAACTTGAAAGTGAAATTTCTGAAAAAGTTAACGAAGTACAAAGGCAAATGTTAAATTTATCCGCATCAATTAACCAACAAATGGCAGAAGTAAAGGATGAAATCAATGATGTCAATAGCACAAACGAACATTTACAAAATGAATTTTTAGGATCGTTGAACTTAAGTAATACAATGCATCTAAATTATTTAAAGGAAGATATTCGAAATATGAGTGATAAGATAAAATCTTTTTACAATTATTCAAATATTGATAGTAATAATAATGTTTTATCAGATAAAATTTTGTTGGATTGTTTGAAAAATCGACCCAAAAATATTAGTTATTGTTTTTATAAATTAATTGAAAACGAATTGATGGTACTGATGGAGATGTCCGATACAAAATATGAGAAAAAAATCGAACAAATGTCGAAAGATTTAAAAGCCCTTTATGAGAAATACGATTATACACGAACTATACCTCTCACTAATCAGAGTACGGGCTTTTTTACATTTTTTCAAGTACTCACACTCATGTTACTAATAATAATTGTTTTGGCTCTAGTATATATCGGTTACAGCATAAAAAAGAGAAGAACTGACTCGATAAGGAAAGAACATATTGCTTTACTGTAGAAGTATTATTACATAACTTGTTCAATTTAAACCTAACGCCCTGTATATTTTTTCAACAATTAGTTAATTTAATATAATAATATAATGTGCATTTTCTACAAAAACTTGAAAAGGTGAAAAAATAAGTTATTAAATTTTGCACCTTTTTAAGTTTTTGTAGAAAAAGCATATAATTTATAATTTACATACATATATTGAGAATCTTATAAAATTTGAATTATCAAATCAAAATATACAGAAAGTTCTTTTTATATGCAACAACTTATTACCGTTCAAAGCGATTGATTATTTAGAATTAAGTTTTAGATGCCCTGTATAAACTTATATTTTTTTTATTATTGTAACACAATGTTTAGTAAAATATTTTGTTTTAAAATGTTAAATTATTTTTTTTATGTGAAATAAACATTAATAAAGTTCACCATTATTTTTATTGCAGAAATAAAAAATGTCATAATATACAGGGCCTTACCACAATGTAATTTCGATATTCTTTATTTATTTTCGATACTGTGTATGTGGATCTGTTATTACATTTTACATGTCTAATAAAAATACTTTGTTTTTTAATAGATGGTTTTTATTTTAATTACACAAGTTTTGTGGAAGTTTTACTACACTTAAAAATTACTACGCTAAAAAAAAATAAATCCAAAAATTAGCCCATGAATATTTTTTTTTGCCTAATATTTATTAACATTAAATAAAAATTTTAGATGTTTTGAATATAGTGTACTGTTTAATTTTTAGTTAAAATATATTTTTTATTTTTAAGGATGGAAATTAAAATATTCAACGGTAATAAAAAGATAAATTATCTTTTACGATTTAATTTATTTCTTACGTGTATAATTATTATTATTTTAGTGATATCTAATAGTTGATATTATTAATAATATTCCGTATGATCGAAAAAAAAACAGCGCAAAGTTGGCTCGGAAATGATGCTGCTTTTTGAACAAAGACTATATACAATTTAAAAATGTACCGAATTAGACCATACACAGCCTATAATATAGCTCTTTCCATCTATCAAATTTCGGAAACGGATAGAGTTGCTTTTTCAGGCCTGTGTGCAATAACAATAATGATTGTTATCCGGAAAAGTGTTTTAAGGTCATTCTCCCATCCATTCTCCTTCTCTATCTCCCACCCTTTCTACTATCATCCCTTCTAGCTACCATCGACGCCTCGCCGCTCCAGCCTCCGTGTGGACGCTCCAGTTGCAATCCGACGTCGCGGCGCAAGGACGCCGTTCGTGCATCGCGTCACGCCACACGATGTCCTCGTCTGTCGCGACGACCCGGACGTCCGCTGGTTTCATGTCCGGACTTTTGTTGTGCGTCCTGATCTGCTACGGGGCGGTAACCGGAAATCCGGACGCCAAAAGACTGTACGACGACCTGCTCAGTAACTACAATAAGTTGGTGAGGCCGGTGGTGAACACGTCGGATGTGCTCAGGGTGTGCATCAAGTTGAAGCTGTCGCAGCTGATTGATGTGGTGAGTATAGACAGACGGTTAGTCCAATGTAAGCTGCCTGTAACCAGGAAAGCAAAGTGTCAATCATATCCACATACGACACGGAGTATTGTAGTTAAACGATTAGATTATTACAAATTGTAGGTTCTAGGTTCGTTGAAGGACTAGTAGAGCTGCAATTTAAAAATATTTTTACTAGATACAGAGTGTCCTAAAAAAAGTAAAAAATATTATAGTTGTATTTTTTTAAAGGAACACCCTGTATATTATTCTAGATTTAAATTCTACGATTGAAACAAAGGTAAGTTTAATTGAAGTTTATCATACTTAAACCTTACCGTTTTGCAAATATTTGCAATTCTACGAAATTGCAGTAAAAATGTTCAGGCTTCATTTCTCCAAGGTTATCAAAGTTTTTAATACTAAATATTTACTGAAGTTTATTTATTGATCAGATATTATGTTGGAATAATAAACAAAATACTACCTTATACAGATTGTCTAAAAATTTATATTAAATAATAATTAGCTTTAAACGACAATAACTTGTTTAATTTAAATCGAACACCCTGTATATTTTACGAGAATCAGATGCACAATTTAAATGTCTATCAAATTGTATAATACCATTTTTTACCTATCTCTTCAAGTTTTCGTAGAAAATGCATTTTCTTATAATTTAGACTTCATTTATCACTATACCTATGGAATATTGACATTTTAGATTATGTTTAAAGATGTAGCAAATTTTCAAAGAGTACAGATACTAATATTGTCAATATAGTTAGCTTATTTCATAAAAAAATATTTTTTTGTTAAGGAGGACCAATTAATATGATCCCAGTATTCAAACTACATTAATACTGTTTACGTTGATTAATATTAATTGCTCCAAATACTAAAAAACTGAATTTTGTATGTGTATTAGACAGTATGGTAAAAAGTAACACCTAATACATTTTATTTCATTTTTTGACGAATGCTTATTTATAACAACAGAGACGTTCATTTTCATAACTTATTTTTATATTGATTTCTGAGTCAAATCCACACATTTTATTTAGAATAATTAAAAAATAATAATTAATAATTAATTAAAAAATAAATTAAGTATGTATTTTTTTGCCCAAAAACTCATTTTCGAGCGGAAATAATGGCGGTATATTTAATTGGTATAGTATTTTACATAGATTTAAATAGTTTACTTTTTGTAAACAAATGGGGGCTTGCAATATTATTATTTTTACCATCTGTATATTTTGTACATGTGTTGCTTTATCCTGTATGTGGATATGATTGACACATTGCTGTTGCAACAAAAGCCAACGTTTAAAATATACAATTATTTGACTTCTTGACAAAATTATCACATGGCAACTTAAGATACGTTGGCATTTGATTAGTTTTGTATTGTTGCCTGTTTAGTCTGTGTTTAGTTCTTAGTCTGTGATAAGTTAAAAAAAAAACAATGTGGTAATCATATCCACTTATATTATGTATATTTAAATACAATAGTAATTGAACTGCAAATTATCTAAATTAAATTCATAATTCAAAAATTAATATAATACTATAACACATAATTAACTATAATAAGTTAGTCAGACTGATGATAATCACTATTTCTAACGTGCTCAGGGAGTGTATTAAGTTGAGATTGTTCCAGTTGATTAATGTAATGAGTAAAGGCAGACAGGTAGTCAATGTATCGCTGGTCCCAAGTCTGTGGTAAAATAAAAAATAATCTGTCAATTATCATCATTATCATTTTAAACTTATTTTTATAAAAAATATTCTATTGAGCATACAATTCAGTATTTATTAGAATTATCTCTATAGGTTATTATATTTAGTATTTTAAAGTAAATACATAGAATGAGACTGCATATTTAGGTATTACGGTTATATAGATATTATAAATTAAGGAATTCATGATTTTAAACTCAAACTGTCCGGTCGTCCATTGATTTAAATTATTGTTTACCTCTTTATGGATAGAGCTAGTGAGCCTTACAAAAATGCACCATTTAAACTACGATTTTAACAGTTTTAGAGCTACAGGGCGAGTCTTGAATAAGTGCAAATATTTTCACGACTCGTAGATCTCGATAAAACCTGCCACTGCAAATTTTTCCAAAATCCGAATAAAGAAAATCTCTCGAAAATAATAAATAGTGAGATGACTATTTACTCTCTATGTATAGAACCTTTATGGTCCCATATAAACTGTAGGTATGACTAAAATAAATAGCTTTGACATATAAAGTTTTCAATTGTCGCTTTTCTTAATTAACTCATGTCTTTTAAATGATCCTTTGTGCAAATTTTTATGTGTATAATCCAGAGATCACGAAGGTTTATATAAATTTTTACTAACTTTACCCAGTTGGTTGATGAATCTCAAAAATCTCTTCTAAATTTTTCTGTAGAATTTCATTCTTCTAGACCAGATATTAAGGAATTTTCGACTCTAAGAGGATGAATTTCCAAAAATCGCTTTGCGTAGCTAATTCAATAATCACTAATGTCATTTAAACGAACATTTGTGCTAATATTTATGTATCTAAAGCTGACGGTATTAACTGACCCCAAAAATATGTTAAAACTTGATATATAATCTAACTGACGCACCACTGACAATGACAAATAATTTGTTTCTGGAGGCATCGTGTGTATGTATTTTTCAGGTATGTTTTAGTATTTAGTCGTTTTACACAAAGAAATAGCAATTAAACAATATAAAAATACTTCATAACAAATCTAGGCATTACAACCTTTTATTTAAAAAAAGAATCATCAAGATTGGTGAAGCGGTTTCGGCGGCATGGATGTAACAAAAAAACCTTTTGAGCTTTTATATATGTATAGATATGGATGGATTCGCTCTTATTTATAACTGTGATTTAGACACTTATTTTACAGTACAATTTTTGTCGTAACAAAGCTAAAATGCAAATTTCATAACTACAAAAATCTAGTCTGATCTAAAAAATACTTGTTTAAAATTTTATTATGTATATTTTATGCAAAAAATGATGTCTAGCTTTAAACGCCAATAACTTCTTTAATTTAAATGGAGCGCCCTGTATATTTTAGGAGAATCAGATGCACAATTTAATTGTCTATCAAATTGTATTATACCATTTTTTACCTATCCCTTCAAGTTTTCGTAGAAAATGCATTTTCTTATAATTTAGACCCTATTTATCAATATACCCATGGAATATTGACATTTTAGATTGTTTTTAAAGCAACAAATGTACAAAAAGTACAGGCTAGTAATATTAACGTTTTTAGCAAAACGATAATATTACTAGCCCATTTGTATGCAAAAAGAAAACTATTTAAATCTTTATAAAAGAGTATACCATTAATTAAATATAACACCATTATTTCCGCCCATATACTAATTAATTACATGCTTAATTGTGTTCGTTAATAAATTATTCTAAATAAATGTGGATTTGAGTCAGAAATCAATATAATAATAAGTTATCAAAATTAAAGTCTCTGTTGTTATAAATAAGTATTTATTAAAAAATGAAATATCATTTTTAAGGTGTTTCTTTTTATCACACTGTCTAATGCCCATACAAAATTCAGTTTTTTAGTATTTGGAGCAATTATTATTAATCAACGCAAACAGTCAGTTAATGTAGTTTGAATACTGGAATCATATTGATTGGTCCCCTTTAACAAATATTTAAACAGTTTTTTTATTTTTTAATAAAATAAACAAATTATATCGACAATATTAGTATCATGTTGATTTATATATAAGTTGATGCATAAATAATGCATCAACTTCTTTAAATTCACATTAAATCACATTGTTTTGATACATTGTAATCTCGTTGCAGAACAATATAATACTTATATGTATTAAAACAAAACGTAAAGTACTGTTTTTTGATACTTAACGATTCTTTACGCCAGTATTGACACAAGAAATTGCGAGCAGCGCAAACTTGCCCTATATATTACATAATTCTCTATGGCAACTCGAGAGCTGAAACGAAAATAGAAGAGTAATGCTCTTAATGGCAAAAACGTTTTATCAATGAAATGAGGACGTCCCCTAAACCTTTTATTTTGTTTCGACACAATTTGTACAAAATAAACAGTGAAACCCACTTTAAAAAGACGTGTTTTTCGTTTGTCTGTTGTGTCAATTTGGATGACAAATATAACGAGAATCAAGAGTTGGAGCTAACTAGAGCCAGACTAATTATTTGTGCATTAAAACAATTGATTTGGAAATATACACACAACCAAACTTATATGGAATCATCTATTATTTTTCATAATTTTTGAGACGTATGAAAATTTTCTGTTTATGAACAAAACTCAGTCCTTACCAATGACTTTTAATGAAAAATAATCCATATAGGAATAAAAAAAATTAATCAATTCCCAAAATAAACAAAATGGTATTTTTTGGTTTCTGAAACAGAATGATAGCGGCAGTGTTGCCACAGCTACCCCATTCGGGGTAGATCTAGCCCTATGTAAAACAATTTAACCCCGCTATCTCGTGATAGTTTACCCCGGTGAAATATAAGCTTGTGGCAATTAGTACTGAAGAAATTCTCCAAGGAACCCAGGCTTTCCTGACTACCTCAACAGAAAATACAACAGCCCAAGAAATATGGGAAGCTTTCAAAAAATGCACAACAAATGCAACAGGGTCAGAAAAAGAAGATCAACCGATAAAACGAAAACACTGTTATCGAACGAGACATTCCAGATCATCGAAGACAGAAGACTTCTCCACCGGAAAGGCATACATACAGAAGAAGAGAAAGAAGAACTAAAATACCTGAATAAGGCAATAAAGCAAGGAGCAAGAAGAGACAAACAACAATTTTACTCTGATATATGCAAAGAAATCGAGAGACACAGTCTAAATAACCTACCAAGAGACCTCTTCAAAAAAATAAAATGTATTACCAGGGACTTTAAAGCCAGAAATTGGGCAATCGAAGATCAAAATGGAACTTTAAGAACCAAAAAAGAAAACA